CGTGGTTAGTACCTATGATATACCTCATTTACGCAAACATAAGACGTGATTATTTCTCAGACTGAAAAACAAAATTGGTATGTCATCCTGAGACTCACTATCCCTTTGATTCTGAATCTGTCAGAAGCTGAAATGTATTGAAAACAAATGAAAATGCCCCCATTTTTAAAAGAAATGCCTCGAGAACTCAATGCAATGCCACGAAGAACTGCTAGTGAAGGTTCACTTCCATAATCTTAATTGAAAAAAAATTTAGTACAGTCCACCCCCGTTAAACCGCCCCCCGATAAACCGCCACCCTCTGATCCCGCCAACTTTTCCTCCCAAACAAATCTCCCTAACTTTGAAGCCAATGGAGACCCCCGTTAAACCGCCATCCGCCAACATTTTTTTCATAACAAACTGGATCTTTGTATTGTTTTTTACCCCGTTAAACCGCCAATGTTTTTTCCTCCCTCAAAGGGTCTCCTCTTCCAAATCATATGCTCCAAAATTTATTTTTTCTTAAATTAAACTTCCTGAAGATTATTGTCTCCTTATCCCAACTTTACATAAACTATTCACCAGCAGAAACTGGTTCCATGGTGCCTTCATCCATTCTCCCTCTCCCAAAAACTTTTCATTTTGTGTTTCTTGGGGACATCCATCTCACATTCCATATACTGTATCATGAATTAAAATAAGGAATTATTTTTCTCTGTGTTCCAGGAAAATGTGTTCAGTTTTTAAGTTCAAGTAGGGTTAATATAGGTTGAATTATGTTAATTACTAAAAGATTTGTTCTTATTTTTGCAATCTTTTAAGCTGAAATCCCCAAGAAAAGTATTCATCAGGAATTTGTTCAAGATATGTGCATGAAAAAAGCATGAAAGAACAGAATATTGAGATGAAGGCTTGCAGGATCCCTATCTGGTACAAATTTAATTTCAGAATCTTGTCCAAGGTGGCATGGGAGGAAAAAATCAAAATTGATTATTCAGAAATTAGCACTCATTAAACAAATTTGTAGATCATAAAGTTGTAGATTTGAGAATAAAAGTGACATTGTGGTTGACACAGTTTACTATAATAGTTTCCATTTTGTAAATTTTCTAGTGAGACAGAAGAGATTAACCTTTGGCTCCCTTTTTCTGCCAAAAAAACAATTCCTTCCAGCCTTTCATTGCCCCATACTCCCCTCCACTTCAATATTCGTTTACAGAGTTTCATGCAAGAGGAATTGGAAAAAGGGAAAACTCATCCACCCCTCCCTATATTAATCAATTCAATTTAAATTAACCTGCCGCCAAATAATTCAAATTCAACTACAGTAACCCATCCTAACTAACTAACTTTGAACAAATTTATCTTTAAACTCAGCATTAAAATTTTTTGTTCTCTGTGTTTTAATATATGTAGAATGGAAGAGCTCCCAAGAAAGAAAGAATGGACTGGCAGTCGGAGAAGGGTGGGTGTTTGAACTGTTTTTTTTTTTTAATAGGGACACCCCCTCCCTTGATAAACCGCCAACCCCGTTAAACCGCCAAAATTTTGTATGACAAACGTTGGCGGTTTAACGAGGGTCGACTGTACTATATTTGCGTAAATCTGGTAAGTGAAAAAATTGTCCTGATGAAATTACTTTCCGATTAAATTTTCCTTGAGTCAGAAACTGTGAGTTAAAATTGCTTCCTGTCATCCCTTGGATTTCGAATCTGTGGTTTTTTAGATTAATTTTTTAATCTACTATAATTATTATTTTATTGTTTTGCGTAGATTGCGTGGATGATTTTAATATTACAGTATTTTTCTTCATTTTTTCTGTGGAAATCATTCGAGTTTGCAACGTCGCCAGCTCGCCACTTTATAATTTTGCTACAGTTATAGTACTATTGAGATCGATGAACTTCCAATCTGTCATTGTTTTTATACGCGGTGAGATCACTTGACTAAAGATCAAAATCATATTCCAAGTGTTACAAACGTCAGATCACACAGTACTTGAAATTATCGATATTATAAGTATTAAAAAATACACTGTACTGTACAGTAGAACGAACGTGAGGAGAAAACAGCAGCGCTCGATATGTCGTCTCGACGTGCTCTCTTGGGAAATTGATTTCTTTCCCACGTTAGAAGTGCAGTACTGTAATGTCTTCGTCGATCCCACACATCCCGCCAAGAATTGCAGAAGGAGGGGGTCGAGAACATTAACTGTATATTGTCCTCGCATAGTTAGTATCATCTTGAATAATTCGTGCGACGACTTGTCTGGTCCAAAGTGCTCAATGATTTTATGTGATGATACCACTAAACAAGTGCGCGGGTCTACTAGTTTTTTAAACTTCTGCCATGCGTCATCAACATGACCACCGTCTAATATCCGACGAGAAAACGAGATTGAACGTCTTGATCGTGGTCTCATTCTGGGTTCAACTCCGCTGGCGAGCTGGATTATGTTTTAATCTTTTCGTGACTATTTTTTGTTGTTGTTTTTTACTGACTCAGTGTGATCCCGACTCGGAGGCGCCAGTGGACCATCTAAGAAAACCCAAAAGGACAGAAGGTATGCTCAGGTGAGTGCATAGTACGTCGGGTTCCCCATTAAGGTCTCTCTAGCAAGTCTCAAGTCGCCACAGGTAACAACGTGGCTTTCCCTTCATTCACTGGCCGCGTCATCAAAGATATACGAACTCCCTCTCGTGGCACATTGTTAGCTACGAAAAACACGTTTACGAGTCATGGACTCCTTTCGACCTTCGCATGTCGTCACTTGAGCGGCGGGGTGGATTTCATATTAAATAATACCGTCCGTTTTCTTCGCCTTCTGTTTTATGCATAATATCGAAGACGGCGCAAAATGCGTCGAAGCATGCGCATTCGAAGTCTCTCTGGTGACCAAGGACATCTCCACAAAAGAAGATTTTTGGCTTAATTTCACTGCACTATTAGTTCCAATTCACATATTATGGCCCCTGAAGAGATTTCTGGTCGTTCTGCTGGTTGCAGCATTCTGGTTCTATTTACGAGAGTTAGACGTGACGCGGAAGGGTAGAACGTCGACCTTGTGGGAAGTTCAAAGTCTGAGATGAACCAAGCGTTGAACGGGAGCCCATTTGGTTGAAAGGAACAAGGTTACGCTGGTGTAACACCGAACCCAAGCGGCCTATTGAAATAAAGCACTGTACCCCAAGATTTTTCACCTTTTTGGCTGGAGGAACGCGTTTCGCAAGCGTACTCTGCGGCAGACTCATTCATTTTTACGAAACATTTTTGTGGCCTTCAAAACTAAATACTGTGATATGGGCGGAGTACTTCTTGTCTTTTTTCCGAGTCGTGCTTCATGAGTATATTTTTCTGCATTTTATTCTTTATACAGCAGCCCTGGGACCGTGGGAAATGCGTACGAAGCACAGGATGAGAACTCATTCTCCGGAGGGGAGTCATGTTATATGTTATCCTGTACGTGTACTTGTATAAACCACCAAAGTAGTTTTTCTCTCTAGATTATGTTGTACAGTATCTTGGAGAGCTTACATCAAGTCAAAACATACATCCAAAGAATTGGCAATCGCAGTCATATGGACAAGTTAGGTATTTCCCCCTTATTCATATTTTTGAAGCACAGGTGGACTCTCTCATGAAGGGAGTCCTTTCATTAAGAAAGGAGAAAAGAAAAAAATATGCAGATAAGGAACGAAGTCCGTTGTGAAGAGCTGTGAATTAAAACTTTGTGATGAGTTATGTTATGCTTCCTGTTGTCAGAGATTTTTAGAAGTTTCCTGATTTAAGGATGACGGGTTTCTTCCATTTTTACCGAATCATTGTCATTGCCGGAGTATTTAACAGGAATGATCGCCAGAAAACTCTTCTCTAAGCAAACAGATGAACATTCAAGATCCAGTAATTTAACTTATTTTTTACTTTTGGCTAAAGGTCGGATAGGTCGGTAATTTGACCTACCCATGGACTAGTGAATAAACTAGAAACACATTTCGTGAACTGAGTAATGGTTAGAGCGTCACTGTACTGAGATTGCTCATGGGGGACGAATCTTTCTGGGAGACGTGTATAAAAAAAAAAAAACGAAAATTCAGAATTTTGAACCAATTCCATGATGCCATGATCTTGACAAGTAAATGTGGTTGTGGGATGAAACTAAACGTCCTACTTCGTGAACAAAATCATACATTATATACCTGTACTTCCTAATACAAATAATTTTATGCAATGAAGTCCAATCAACCCAGTTTTAAAGAGATTGTGAAAATTTTTTTTAGTTCTGAGGACACAAAGGGGCATAATTCCCTCATGATTTTAAATTAAGGAACCTTCATTTTCACCTGATGAACTCAGTACAATTTTCAAGCGACTTTCGAGATTTTGCACGGATGCAGGGATTGATGAGTTGCAAAATTAGTGGAATTTCCTTACGTCTTGGGAACAATATCTAACCTTATTTTATGATGAAGACAGCGGCAAGCAGTAGTTCTCCCTGGTAACAGGAGTTTCATCGCACGATATAAATTCCTTTTTTCCTTCCGCTTTTAGAATTAACCTTTCCCGCTGCGCTCTGGGAGAAATTGTAATTGCGAGCACTCAGAGAACATCCATCCGATGACTGGCACCGGTTCCCAGACCATAGTCTCAGAACACAATGGGGTAAGTCATACCGCTACACCGAACGCGACTGAGAATTGAAAGAAGCCCTTCGCGGACGGGGTGAGACTCGTGAGAGTGAGCATAAGCCCGCGTACGCCTGCGCGGGGAGAGGTAAGAACGAGTAAGGCGAGGACAGGTTGCCGAAGCGGGGGCGCCGCGGCGGTATGCCTGCATCCTCAGGGCACCTCCTGCGACAGTCGACCGAGCTGCACGATCGTGTTTGCAAGTGCCTGCGTGCAACCGAGACCCGGCGATTCGTCCCCAGAAATTCCTCGGGATCAAAGCCAGTGCCGCGAATTACCGAACTCGGCGTCGCCGCGATCGCGGGGTTTTGTCTCGAAAAATGTGCCAGTTAACTCGTTCTTTGCTCCTTGCTCATCGCAGATATGCATAGTATCGACGGTTGATTCAATCCGGTGGGACGCTTTTTTTGATTTTTTCGGACGACGGCGCGGGTATGCCGACGAGACGTAGGCAAAATGAGCCGACCTGCTGTCGCAAGGTTTGGCACAAGATGTCGCGCGTGAAGAAGTTGGAGGAACCCGACGAAAGTGCGACTCAGCTCAACCGCTGTTTGGGAACCCGGGACGCGATCCTTCTGGGTGAGTTCAATGACCAGTCCCTCATCTGCGCTATATCGCCTCGCGAAAGTCAACCTAATAGAATATTCCATACCTGTTAATTTGAAAGCTTACGACATTGCACAGCGGGCAAAATTTTGAGGCAAGTCCTTGTAATACAAATGGACGCTTTTTAAAAGGACACTCAAAAAGCCGAAAGGTTCTGAAAAGCGCTGTACAGTACTGTATATACATTACTGTATTGATATACTCCCGACGAAAAAAAGCTCCTTTTAAAGGTGGACTCTCTTTACAATAAAATTCAGGGGACCGTAAAATTTTTTTATGGAGAACATTTTTCCTGTAGAGAGCCATTGGCAGAATGACTTTTTACAGGGAGAGAACCCTATATGGGACCTAAAAAATCATTTTTTACCCACTCGTTGTAGACAGAGTCCACCTGTGTACACAGATGCGGTAAAGGGTATGCGGTGTCCAGAAATGATTTTTTTGAAATTGGGATAGTGCTGTGGAGGGTATAATCATTTTGATGAAGTTTTTCAAGCACCCTTTTATTAAACCTCATCTGGAACGAGATTTTTTCGGGAGAAGTAGAGAACGCATGCAATTATTTTCCTACATTTTTATTACTGCGTATCAAAAATCCGCAGGCTTTACCGATCGCATTGTTCGAATTGAAGAAAGCGCTTATCAAGAAAAAGATGCAACTCCTCCGGAATTGATTAGTCTCAGTTGTCGTGTACTGTACTGTATATCCATACGAATGATGCTGATGAAAAAATCCTGAATCTACAGTTATTCTGTAAATTCTATCCAATTATGCGTCTGTGAAGGCGAAGCGTGCCCTGTCAAACATTATCGTAAACGGTCATTCCGAACGTGAATTCTTTCTTGAATAACTCGAATCCTGAATCTTTTCTTAAGCTCATTAAAATTGCCCATACGAGGAGTGCTTCGAAATGTCTGAAGTTTTCTTCAGCACTTCGTTGTACCTTCACTAAAACCTGTAATGTAAGTTCATTGGGTCCCCTTATTCCGGGTCTTGAGTAAAGTTGCCAAAGACAATGCTGGGAGTGGAAATTGAGATGACAAGTATAGCATTAGTGGACGTTGATCCTGTGATTATCCCATGGGATGAAAACCAAATACTGTACTGTATTATGAAAAAACTGGCAAGTATTATTCAATAACGTTTACTATACATAAATCTCAGAAATAAAGGAATCTGATTCTCAGGTTTAAATTGATAAAGGTACTGGAATAAATGGTATCAAGATAAAATACCACAGAAAAACAACGAATGTTCACGACGGGAAATCTTGCAGGAAAATTTATTAAAAAAGAATGTACGCTGGAGAATTACCGCATTAAGGCGAACATGTCTTCAAAAAATGTATTATCTCACGGGGGACATTCTAATTCATGAGAGAACATTGCAACATACTCAATCCTAGAAAACATTTCGACGCAAGACTTACAGGAACAGCATTAGTGTCCGAATCAGGATTGCTTCTACTGTAAATGCCTTTAATATTGTTTGGGCCTCAGATTTGTAAAAACAAATTCAAGGGGAAAGGAGTTTCAAGGTGCCTTGCAGGTCTACTCTTGTCCAAGTAATTAAACCCCTTCTTGTGACAATGAATGGGCAATTCAATTTCGTATGAGCGATATGGACTGAAAACAGATCAATAATATTATGAGTATTTTAGCAGATGCATCTGGGAAGTGCACTACAGTACAGTATTCGAAAATTTTGGTCTTATAATTGTTCTTTCTTTTTTTTACCAAATCACCTTTCACTAGATCTTTTCGCACTAGCAATGACCATCGCCAACACTTTGTCTATGCCACATGTTTCTCCCAACTCCTTATATTCCTGAATTATAATTAAGTCAGCCATAGTACTGTATATTAGTACACTTGAGTCTTGTTGATTCTTATGTAGAAAATCTGCGATCAATTGCATTCCGTGGTAGCCTTCTTTCGATTTCTGCCACGGCTTGGGAAACGTCTTGCTCACCAAAGGATTTTATGGTAACGTGTACATCCAACGTCAGAATCGAAAAAACTGAGGAAGACGAAACGCATTTTTAGATATGTAAATATTTTTCTAAAATCAGATATGATGGGTTGTATTTAAGATTTTAAAGATTCCTTGAAATATTTGAAAGCACTTTTATAAATTGAATCCCTGTGAATTATAGAACGTGCGAATATGCTGTATAAACATTGGTTTCTCACAACGTAGGACTTCACTTTCAACTCTTTCTTTTTTCCATTCCAAGCAAGGCGAGAAACTGAGCAAGTCAAGATACCTGTATAATCAAGTATGTATTGCTATTCTTCATCCTGGAAGAATAGCTGAACATTTTATTTTTCATTTAAAAGATGAAAAATTTACCTTCATCCATCCAAGATTTGAGCACCGGAAGCAAAAGGGTAACATAAGTTTTGAATCCTAACTTCAGTATATGTGGCCGAAACGCGAGTACTGTAGAGTACTTCGTTTTCAGAAGCGATGAGAGTACAGCAGCAGTAAGCGCTCGTAAGGAGATAGTAATTCATCGAATTCATTCCGGATGGCTGAGATAGAATTCGTTCCAGAGCAGTTTAACCCTGTTTACGAGCTGAAATATTTGACTCGTGTATGATACGGATTGTGCATGCACTGTACCGCGTGAATGCCATTAAATCCATTGTAATCCAACTGAATTTTTCAAGTTCCCATCCGCACTCATGAGTGTAATGGGGGCGTCACTCTCGATCTACGCCTCTCTCAAGGAAGTCTCGCATGTAGTTGAAGTTGATGTGCGCTCACAACGTTGTTCCGAAACCAGGTGGAGACGCTTCTTCCGCATCCACACATCGTGTTTTCCCTTGTTTGTAAACATTTCAGGGGCGTAATGCGCGTTTTATATGTAACATGAGACGGTTTCAAAAAGTTTCTATGTTCCGAAGATCCTGGATGGCGCCGAGAAACAGCAGTGTGTCAGGGTCGTGCGCCTATGAGCTCTCGCTTTTGGGTTAGACTCATTCTGAAATAGATGTCACTTCTTCTCGTTTCTGAAAAGCATCCGCTGCTTCTGGCGTAAACGAGTTCATTAGTAGTCCGGAAGGAATTTGAACAGCTTGATCAAATCCCGCGCAAGGATGGTTCGCATTAATTAAATGTCCTTAGCATGGCCTTAAAAGCAAGTACGGGAGGACCCAGTTCATTCGGAGGCTCTCGCGCATGATGCCGGCTGTAAGAATTCTTCCCTTTAACTGGGTTACGGATTTCAGCGCAATACGATTTAAATGCATTGTACAATATTCCACGAAAATACGACTATTCTGGGGCTTGAGATATAAATAATCTGGAATGAAGTAGCCTTCATTCCAGCCTTCTGAAAAAATAAAACGCGGATTTTTTTAGTTCGAAATTCAAGAAAAATACGGACCTTTTCTCGGAAAACAGCTTTGAAATTGATCCCGAAAAATACGCCAAGTAAATTACACTGAAAATCTGCAAACTGTTTTGAAACTTCAATTTGGGCGAAGTTAGATGCATGTTCTAGGGAGTTGATGGAAGGCCAAGTTGAGCTAAGACGGAAAAATACAAAAATAAGTGTGTCCAAGTGTACCTTTTGAGAAATGCACTCGATAAGAATGATTCCAGGACTCAAAACAAATACGCCCAAGCGTATTGAAAAAATATGGTAAACCGGAAGTACAGTAACACCTAGGAAAACAAGGATTATATGTCACAGTTTTCTACTCAAGTAAGCTCTTCATTGCCAGAGATACTGCATTTACAATGAAATTAATATTACTGTCCTAAATTTGTTTATTTGTGAAACCTATCTTGTTGTATAAGTGTGAATGATGTACGAGTTCGCATAATCTCTGCTGCAGTATGAATTTGATTTTGAATCTCTTTTCCACCCATTAATTCAGACAATGAAATTAAAGTTCCGTATTCCCCGCTGTTACTCGTCATGAGGAGTCAAGTACAGTACTGTACTGCATCTGCTACAACCAAGACTTTTTTATGATATGTCAAAAGCTAATTCCACGCGCCTGAGCTTGTGTTCAGCCTTCCAAATAATTTGTACGTCAAGGCGTTTCCAGCGTTTTAAAATAAATCTTCCATTCAAAATTCTGTTTTGCTAATTTTCGACGAATATATACTCCTTTTCATGAATATATCCGATTTCATAATAGACTCACGAATGCGCAAACATGCCGACTGTTTCTCCATTTTACCCTTTCGGGTAGCTCAAACGCCATCGAATGAGTTGTTGTCTTGTCTGGAATCAAAAGGTGCATGCATATATTTCCATTATTCCCTGTTCGCGTCGTAAATGCATTATTTTATTTTAACGATTCGAATGTTTCTCGTCGAGTTTTAAACCAAAGATGGAGATGCGAACATTCTACGGCACTTTCCTAACCTTCATACAACCTGTGCTCCGCGGCGGCTCTAGAAAATTAAAAGTGAAAGAAATTTATTTTTCAATAAGTAGGACTCGTCAAAAGTATACGAAGATTACTGAGTTCGTTACTGAGGCATGGGAAGCTTTCAACATTTTGGACTACGGCAAAGTAATCTGAGGACGGGGATGATCCTTGAGGGTTCCACTAAAGGAATTCGGTTTAGAAGGGCTCCGCGAGTCAAAATGGTTGGGAATCTCTGTTATATGGTTTCCTGCTGCTGTTAGCAAGTACACTACAAATATTTACGAGTTTGTGCTCGCTGATCTGAGTGTGCTTCGACAAGTTAATTCCTTCAATTGGGACGATATCGATTTTTATCTGTGGAAAGTTACACGTTTATGAGTAGGCATTTTCTCCACTTGTTTTCTGTGAACGTGCGATGTTGGACTGTGTTTCTTTTTATTGTGGCATCGCAGTAGAAATTTGAGAAGTGATTCTATCTGAAACCAGCTTTGCAGAGTCACTTTTCGAGCTTGATTACATTCGCTGCCGTCCTGATGACTTGTTTGCTATCGCGCGCCGGCGACGAGCGGCTGCGGCCTCGCGCCGCATGCACTTGTTTTGTCATTGTAACTGACAGCGCATTCTTCTTCATCATCGCCTCATCGAAGAACGAATTGTTTTTGAATAATCTTTTTGCAGCCCTAGGAGCGATGGTCGGCTCCGGCGGCTATGTGCTGGAAGGCGTCGTGGTCAAGGACGAGGCCGGCCCCGTTGCGATCCTCTGCTTCCTGGTCTCTGGCCTGGTGACGATGATGGCGGCATTCTGCTTTGCGGAATTCGGCGTCCTCATCCCGCGGGCAGGATCCGCGTATGTCTACGCGTATGTGACGCTTGGCGAGTTCTGGGCATTTTTGGTGGGCTGGAGTTTACTCGTCTCTACGATGACAGGTACGGGTACTGCACCGATTTCCATGTACAGTACTGTACTGTTCTGTACTCATGAACATTCTATAATGAGTATTACAGGAAATTAATCACAGAACAATAATGGACGCAGAACACACGTTGTCAAAAGTTCAATAGAAACGCTTCGTTAAAGAGTATTTTCAGCTGAATGAAAGGGAGCACGCATTTCAAAAGCTGGCATCGCATTATAAATGATGTCGAAGAAAATTGAGCTTCCTTGAAAATTTGACGCCGGTCTTTATACATACAATACATTTTCCGGGCTTAAGACAGCATACGTACCTTAATCTCAAATGACGAAGAATCAACAATGAACATTATTTCTCGAACATCCTGAGGTATATTTTCATTACCTAGCAGCCCTAGCTCTTCTACTTCATGTGAATCGTAAAAGATGAATAAATTTGTATGACGACCACAAATTAACAAAAATTATGTTCAACCTAAAAGATAAATGAAATTGTATGACGACGACAAATCAACAATTACAATACATTCAAAATTCAGGATCTTGAGACGTTCAAATGATACGTGAAGCGATTCCAGCTGCCAGGATGGCTTTCGTTATGAAATTTTTGCCTGGGATTAAGTTCTTCGAGGCACGAATACTCGAGGTTTCACAATATCGTACTGTGGAAGTTTGAATAATTCGGAATTAACAGTATTTTGTAACGCAAGCTCAATTTTATCCCGACTGCGATCTTCTCTCTAGGTCTGTGCCACGTGACAACGAACATATTTTTTAGGATGTTACTGAATGATTTGATTTCTTCGCGACGTATTTCCTTCAATTGCACTCTTCTCCGATTTTTATCTGAAATTTTTCTGTATTCTCAGCTGATTACATTTACTGTACTATAATATTCTGAAGAGTACAGTAATGATTAAGCAAATGTTCCGATGCCTCAAATGCCCGAATGACACGAAGTGATGTCTGCCGAGTAGATAGATCTTCAATAAAGTACGGCAATTCCTGAGAACGAAACTTATGCTTCGATTTTCTTCGTGCTGGTGGGAATTTCGGCTTATTTTTATCGAATTTATACTAAATCCTCTGATACACGATTGCGTAGAAACTGCCCCAGACGGAATGCATAAGTTGACTAATCCTTCTGTAATGTCGGTAGTTCGAACCGAGCGTCCTATCTGCCCGACTATCTGCTGTCGAGCAACGAAGTGTACCAAGAACTATTTTATGGCTTGCTGCCGGTGTCGCTCCTCCTGATTTAAATCTTTCAAAGTGCACAGTATCGGCCTTTGTGTGTCAGTCAAGTCCCGGCATAACTTGATTAAGAAAGGCAAGCAACTCTTCTGAATGAAAATAAAAATGACCTTGTAGAGTACCGCTTTAACGTAGATTTTACGGATAATCTTGGAACAGTGCAACCCAAGAGGTCCCCACCCGCAAAGGGAATAAGATGAGTCGAAAGTAGATGCCCTGACTCCTGAACTTCCCCGCGATTCGTGTATCAACCTGCTCGAGGACCCTCAAGAAGGTAAACTTGAACTTTGGATGAGTTGCCCCGAGGTACTCAAATGCGCAGACCTGCAACTTGACTGCTAATTGTATGATAATGAGGGGAAGTGAATGATAAATGCTCCGCTTCGCAATAGCGACTTTTAGCCGCATCCTTCTTGTTCTGCAACCTGGTTTCTCCTGGCGTCGTCGTTCATAGACGTTAGAAGGTCATGATTAAGTTGCCTTGGGCTCTAAGAAAGTTTTTCCCCCGAGGAACTTGGGTCGAATTTGAGAAGTTCCAGCTACAAGACTCGCTGCACTTCTATGTGCAGGCAGTCAAAACTCTCCTGCAATATGCATGTGAGCAAGGAAAAACGCTTTCTTAAGAAATTCAAAATTATTCAAATCCTGAAGGTGAATCAAACTGTTGTTAGTTACATCCCAGAGTTCAACGCGAGAGGATGTTGGTAAGGATTTTGTATGACCTTGCTGCTTTCTTTTGCTAACAAAATCGCTCAAGAATAAGTTGCGCATCAACGATGAATGTGAAGATAAAAACCCCTTCTCGCCTACCAGAGTCATTCCGAAACCTGCAATTAAATTATAAAAATTGGGGTTTATAGTACAGTACAAAGATGACCTAGAACTTTGCATGCGAGTCTCAATGTTGCTTTTTTTTATAAAAGTACATTAGATCGTGATGGGATCCCGATCAGGAAATCAAGGTATTCAACATTTTCAACCATGAAGAACTGAAGGTCAAGATCTCCGATTTATAACATGAATGCCACCTTCTGTATAGCGGTTTATCAAGATTTCATCTTATCGAACTCCACGTGGGCAATTTTAGGAATATTCTGAATTACGGCGTTGCCTCGTGAACCTAATAAAATGAATCTCCTGATATGACATAGGATTAATACTTGATGAATGCCCTTATGACAACGTTTCAGTACTCGATCGTTAATCGAACTGGTTCGAGAATCAGTCCGGCGCCGTTTCGAAGTCGCCGACCGTCGATTTTTCCTAGCGTATTCAAGTACTGATAATAGGGCGCCGTGGTACTTGTCTGTTCACCAGCTACCGTACCACTGACGCACACATTTACTGGCTACGTGGACGATTTGGCGAACCATTGGATTTCGAACGGAACGGAACAGGTTTTTGGCACGATTGATGTGTTCATCTTCGGGCGCACTCCGGACATTCTGGCGGCCGTTCTGTGTGTATTGATGATCGTCGTCAAAACCGGGGGTGTTCACTCTTCATCCAAGATCAACAATATTTTTACCGTGTTCAACATGTCGGTGCTCACTTTCGTCATTGTGTTCGGATTTTACCTGGCTGATTTCAAAAATTGGACGGATAACTTCGCCCCATTCGGCATCTCTGGCTTCCTTAAAGGTAACCCGGCTTTATTTTATGTCAGAAGAAAATATCCAATGTCGTAAAAGCAATCAGGAGAAACTCGCTCATGGGCCATGATCGGTTATTTTACTTGATCAAAATGGTGTCTTATTGGAAACTTTTCTTTTGTATGGCTCCTAAAGCAGATTGGAGAGCATTTTCCGCATCACGCTTGTCAATGAGGGGGCTTCTTGTAACGTGATTTTCCGAGTTGTATTCCTTTTATACGGAGCATATTTCTGATGTTGACCGGATTTCAATCTACGGCTGCATTTAACCGATCTGATTGAGAACATTTCAAATATTTATCTGGAAAACAATTTGATACAAATTCGCCAATGGTGTTTCTCGCAGGATGATTATCTTTCTGACGCTTTTTGTCTGGATCCATTTACGGTATCCTGTCACCGTACGGCTTTGCGTTGCCTCAAGCATCAGCTGAGGTCGGAGAAGTTTTCCTTAGCTTATGTTTGCATGCCAATCACACTAATGGCGCAGTAACCCAGTCGGAGTAATTGGCTGTTTTTGTTGTTGACTTCCAACGTAAAGTGGCACTTGACAGTTCAAGAAAAGGAATTCTGCGCTTTGTGGATTTAGCAGATAAAGTGGCCAGACGAAGTAATGAATTATTAATGCTCTCAAATAGTTCTTTGACGTGGGTTCACGGATGTTATTTATTCAGCCCAGGTAAATGTGTATCGAATGCAGATGAGACCGCGTGTTTTTCTTCAGAACAATTTTTTTCACGATAGACATTAATGGTCATTGATTTATCGAGGGCAGACGTATTCGTGAAAATCGATTCGACTTGGTGATATCCGACGAAGCTCACACCTTGCTAGGAAGCATGAGAAAAGAGGAACACGCTATATTTTTGTCCTTAAGCTTCCTTAAGAACAAAAAATAAATGAATAGCAGGTGTCGGTTATCGCTTTGGAGACATACATCAATTAAGATTTTCGTTAAGATGAAAATTCTCATCAGAAAACGGGAAATTCTGTACTGGGTATTTTTTTTTTAATGACCGGCGTCATTTGCCCAATTTCTCAAATCTTGGACGCAGTCGCGAAACGTAGGAGAGATAGTATTTGAGATTGGTCAAAATGACCTGGTTAAACGGATATTCCTCTCGATTTTGGAGAAAAGTCACTGTCATTCATGGACCCGATTCAATTGGTTGGTTCCGTGCATGAGATAAAGTACACGAACATGCT